TTCATCTTATCTTTAAAATATTTATATTGTGTGATCTTTGGACTTGGAAAGAAAAAAAACTGAATTTTTTTTTCTTGCTGTGGAGTATCTACTTGCCTTTGAAAGATTTACTGTTAAAAGCTGTGTCTATGTGACACTTAATGTACATATGCAGTAAACAGATCATTATTTTTCTGACTACCAGTATTGTATAACAGCCCTGAATCTTCAAATTAAATTATTTTCTGGATATATTTAGCTTATGAGTTTGTTTAAACACTTGGGGAAATTGTGTTTGGATAATGGTATTGAATGATGATATAAGATACTCATTGAATGATGAATGTGTATGAATTATTGATTATGCTTTAGGAGAGCCAGAGAATGAAATTAGACATGTGATAGTTTTATTGTGTATTTTTTCCTTAATCTTTGTTGGAATCTAATTAGTCAAAGATAGCTAGATTTTGAACATGAATCTAATAAGCTTTTTAAATGGTTATTGTGATAAAATAGCTGGTTTTGTAGGGAAGTTTCTACACACGTACTTGATAAGATTTTCTTCAACAAATTTTAGAAAGGAATTACGTGGTCATCTTTTTAAGTTATACACAATTCTTTTTTTTTTTTTGAGACACAGTTTCGCTTTGTTGCCCAGGCTAGAGTGAGTGCCCTGGCGTCAGCCTAGCTCACAGCAACCTCAAACTCCTGGGTTCAAGTGATCCTGCTGCCTCAGCCTCCCAAGTAGCTGGGACTACAGGCATGTGCCACCATGCCCAGCTAATTTTTTGTATGTATATTAGTTGGCCAATTAATTTCTTTCTATTTATAGTAGAGACGGGGTCTAGCTCTTGCTCAGGCTGGTTTCGAACTCCTGACCTTGAGCAATCCGCCTGCCTCAGCCTCCCAGAGTGCTACGATTTCAGGCGTTAGCCAAGGTGCCTGGCCATACACAATTCTTTATTCAATTTTTAAGTACTTAAGGGTGTGTGTCTTTTTTAGTGCTTCTAAAAGAAGACATGGGGAAATATATGCTAATCAGAAAATAATAAATCATTCTTGTTTATGTGCATTTGATAATGCAATGTATGAAGCTTCTAAATATTTGTAATTTTTTGAGATATAGATATCGCTAACGAGTTTGCTAAGATATGTAGAAATTTTTTAATATATGATTATAGAAACAGAACAGTTAAAATACCTCAGAGTGATATACATTAAAAATCCTTTGGATTATTGTTAGGGTTTTTTTCTAGGGTAACTTATATACTATTGTTAAATAAATAATCTTGTTAAGGCTGTTCTATGTATGGAAGTCATGGATATAGATGTTATTTTGTCAGTGGTCTTTATGTTAAAATTTGTATAGCATAAGATTTAATAGAAATTGCAGAAGATAGAATTGCAGAAGAGGCCAACCTATATGAAGACTTGCATGCTAAGGGTTGGGTGGGCTTTTGTATTGTTCGATATATAAGAGACAAAGGGACTATGTTCCCAAATCTTAACAAGAATAGAATGCTAGCTGACATTTTGCATTTTAGGGTAGGGGATTAAATTATTTAGACTATGATTTTGTTTGTTGATGAGAAGAGTAACTAGACTCTAGACAGCTTTGTCTATATTAGGCATATATAAGGTTTTAAGAGATAAGAGTGTGGGGGTGTTGAGGTACTGTGTGCATATGTGCAGAGGCAGTTTTTGTATGCCCACCAGGCTTTACTCTACCAAAGATGTTGGAGGTCTTACATATATTTTGGAAATAGCCTGATTTAAGTAGCTATACTTGCCTCCTATTGCCAGTTTGATTGTTAAATTGACATTGAACAATTTATTATCACCTGTCAACATTAATTCATTGCTGGTGGATATTGCTATAGAAAGTAATGTTACATCAACCTCACTAGCATGGAAAAGAAAAAAGAAAAGAAAAAATGATAAAAATAAAGAAAAAAGAAAAGATAAATAAAAAAAAAAAGAAAGTAATGTTAACATCTAATTTTCTATATGTATAAACATTGTAAAGATCTATAAATTATTAGGATAGAATTGGTTTTGTTTGCAAAATGCAATGGTATGGGCTCAAGTTTTAGGTTGTGATATATATAATAGAAAATGATCTTGTGGTAAAATATCTAGTATAATACTATATATCTATCTCTCTCTATATATGTATATATATATAATAGTATGTCAGTGTTTTTCTTACATGCAATATGGTGGACATATTGTTCATTGTTTATGATTTTTCAGACGGGTTTATATACAAATACAGTTTGAATAACAAAAAAATTTCCATGTGGTCAGATAGGCTAGAAATGTTTCCATTTGCCAATGGAAGTTGACTTTATAAGTGAATTGTTTCTGATTTAAGATATTTCTGTTTGTAGAGGCAATTTATAAGTTTGTATGGGGATACTAGCAATGGTATATGAAACTTGGGTTTTCTTAAAAATTGTCTGATCACTGTAATAAATACATCTGTGCTATATGTATATAGAAGGTATAGTTATTATGTTTTTTGAGGCATAGGAGCTATTCCTTCTGTTTTATAAATATATATACAATGAAAGCTATTTTCCTTTCCCATATTCAGATCACATGTGCATGTTTTGTCTTTCACTTACAGAGATTGTTGACACATGTGTACGTATGCAGGTTTTTATATACAGATAATAAGCAACACTTATTAAGTCACAGGATAGAAATATTAAATTGCTGGAGGATATTATATGGCTTCTAGATATATAGAGATAAATGTTACTTTTTGCTTTATAGCATCTGTGTACAGATTGTTGATAGACATACTGTGTTAATAATGAACTACTAGACAAGTGTGTAAACACTTTGTTAAATTGGATTGCTAGGCCACGTTTATTTGCGATTTATTTGGTTATGCAGTGTATATTACTGTTTTGTATATAAAAGATAAATGTCATTGTATAAGGTAATTTTGACTATGCCATTTCTGTCAGTCATATTTTTGGAAATATATGTTCATTGTAAAGGATAGAATCATTGTTTGCCCATAGAGTAACATCTTTGTGCATTTGTTAGGTTTGGATTTGAGGGTTATTGTTTGTTTGTTTTGGGGTTCTTGTAGTTTTAAAATTGGCTATTCTTTGTCAAAGTGTAGAAAACACTGCCGATCATATTTGTAAATATGTTACAGACAGGATTTTTTTTTCTTATTGCATTCTAATTGGTGCCTTGTCTCTGCCTGTGTTTATTGGGTTGTTGAGTGGGAGGGCAGAGATGGAGAGCACTTTACTGTGGTGTCAATAATAGACAAACATCTTGTATAACACCTGAGTTTTCTAGGTATATAGAAACACCCACCATACACACGCTATATATGATGGTGAAAAAGATTTTCTACCAATAGAAATATTAACCCCTGTGTTTTTCTCATTTGGTGTATATGGTGAGGTTTATTCAGCTTCTGGTGTGTACATATACATATGTCATCTACCTTTCAGATATGCAGAAATTTCTGTTATATTTTATGAATATATTGCACTTGAAAACATAGGGCACAAGCTTTTTATTCTTGAAATGAGATGGTTGACCAAATCTGTATTGTTGAGTGAGATTTTTATACTACTGTGTATATATTCAAGTTTTACTTCTAAAATATTGTTTCTTCATATTCAATATATGTGTATATATAAATATAGACATTGCTGATATGCCTATTTTTAAAAATCAGAACCATTTTTAATAATATAGGGGTTAGCTTCATTACATATTCACTTGTTTGTTTGGAGGGATATGGGGAAGGATGTTGGCTATAAACCCTTCCTGTAGGGGGCTTCTGCAGCCCCAAACAAATGGGGACAGAAAATACTGTATCAGCAAGATGGGGAACCTTCATAAATGGAGGTCCTAGTTTTCATATCCATGGGTTCTGGAGGGCTGAATGAGAGACTTGAGTTATGTTTGAATTTATATAATCCTTGGGAATTCCTGGAAACAATCCCCCATGGACACTGAGGAACAAGTGTACGGTCCTCTTTATTTTTATTTTTTGGTTTTATAGACATTATGAACATGTATATATTGCAAACATCAGTTTGTTAAACTGTACTTAATAAGTTGAAATGTTTAACTTTTGCAAATGACTTAAGAGCTCTATGTGGGTATCTCCCTGGGGTTTATTATTAAACCAATTTATTTATCATAGCTGCTCTATAACATTTTAACTTAAAATACACACATACACACACACATAGTTGACAAATTGAATGATAGAGGCTGGAAACATTTTTCTTTTGATGGTAGATTGTTATTTCCCCTTTGTATAAATTTTCATTTTATTTTTGGAATTATTAAAGACAAATTACTTGTACATCTTTGAGCTTATAAGTTTGTTATTGCATATATGCTGTCATGTTAAAGAGGGACATAGAGTTTTTTTGTAACACACTTTTATTTGGAAAACTAATTTGTAATTAAACTGTTCAGGCCCATTTTAAGTTAAAATAGACTCTCTTCTGAAGGGAATATCTTATTTTTTCTGATGTACTAAGTTAATGATGCAATTCATTTTTCTTAAGAACATTTTATAGAATCTCTATGTCATATGGTTGTATTCATTTGTTGCATGGCAATAACAAAGACAACTTTATAAATAATGGGCACATGAAATATTTAATTTTAAACAGTATTTCTTAGATGTATTGACAGTCTCACAGAGTATACTTTTGTGTATACCTTATTGTAAATTTGTTAGTACTATTGTCTTTGGCAATTATTGAGACAACAAAATCATTGATAAACAGGCTTATGAGCAACATAGAACTTAATCATATATTAATTTGGATATTAGAAGGAGAAAATGACATAACTATGTATTTAGCCCATTCTCATAGGAAGAATAGTTTGTCACTGTATCAGATAGGAATAGAATATATAATGAAATGCCATGTAAATTAATTTTCTGTAATTTTCTTTCTGTAAAGGTACTGAGTTTCCTAATATCATAATTATTTTTTCCTCTCTCTTTTTCCTTTCCTTTTCTTTTTCCTTTTCCTTTCTCTTTCTCTTTTTCTTTTTCCTGTTTTGTTTTCTTTTCACTGTTAACATTCAAGAAATAAATGACTTCCTTGAAGAGATTTTATTCTACCTCTTGGAACTATACAAAGTTCTGTATGTGTTCCCTTGGTTGCATGACAATACTCAAGACAACTTTGTAAATAGATACAAAATTTTAATTTTTAACATCTAGTCTTTCTAGGTGTATAGAGTCTCACAAAGTATACTTTTGTAAATAAGTCATTGTAAAATATCATGGTTTCATTGTGTTTTGAAATGTCTTCACAATGAAATTGATAAAATTGTGGGCTTTTTATTGTATACATATTTTGGTATCTGTGTTTTTGGATTGTTAGGGTAAGGAAAAAGTTAAGGGTATATATTTTTAACTTCAAATTCTCATAAGAAAGAAAAATTATATTTTACCCATTTCTTAGTATTGTATTATACATAAAAAACCTGTCATAATTTTGTAGTTATATTGATGATAGGGCATTATATAAATATAATTTTGTAGTCATTGTAGTAAATATCTTTTGTAAGCAAAATTTTCTTCTACCTCTTTGAATGATACAGTTTTATATTTACTTGGACTGCATGACAACATTCAAGACACTTTGTAAATAATGAATACATATGTCATTTTTTTAAGATCTAACTTTTCTTGATGCATGGAGTGTCAACAAAGTGTAAATTTGTAAATGTTTCATTGTAACATATTTGGCTCCTCTAAATATTTTGGTGTCACACAAGTAATTAATAATTGGCCACGTTTGTGAGTTTTGGGGACAGCAATGGAGTGCCTTGCCTCTATGTCTTCCCAAATGTTAGAGTCTCATGTATAAGAACGGCCACAATTGTTCCTTGTATGCATTATATCCTTACACAAATAGGGAACAAAAACCCTTGCATATATTTTTATTAATATCTTTAAAAAGAATGAGGAAAACATGAGAGGGAAAGGGAAATATCATTTTAATTCAAATATACATTGAGTGTTACAAGATTGCTAAAGTCATTGTTATTTTGCTGTATCTACTTTTTTCAAATTTATATTAATGCATCTATATTATAAATGTATGTTCACACACACATCTAAAATTAGTTTTAATGGTATAGATGTATAGCTTTTTTTAGGGTATTAACCTCATTTCTTGGTTGCTGCTTTACATTTATTTTTATTTTATAAATTACAGAAAAGAGGCTTTTAAGCTTGCACGTATTTCTAGAATATTGTTATATCTAAATGTATGCTAATTTTATGTTAAATAATGAGCAGTCCCATATAATTTGTTTTCTAATATTTTTCCATTATTTATACATCCATATGAGAACAGAACAATTTTAGTTATGAATATTTTTTTTTGTTTTTCTGATTGTTTCTAAAAATTTGCCTATATTACATATTTTTATGTTATGTGATGATAATCAGAGATACATTGTTACCTATAATGTAAATGAAGAAAATTTCTTATAAAGATCCTATCCACTACTGATCAAATTACTAATCAGTACATCTTTTTAAATGGAAAGTTGACAATGACAATCAAATTGAAAGTATGTACATTTTTTTAAGTGTTACAGTTTAATACTGGGATTTTATCTATTCCAATTGTTCAGATTTACAAAGAAGAAATACATTATAGGTTGAGTATAAAAACATAATAATACAAATACCTGAAATATCCATTATTAAATAAAAGATTGTAATGCTTATAGCTTATGCAACACGGATGTAATTCTAATGGTGAAAAAATATGCCTATATGGAAGGGTGTTTTGTTGGTATTTAAAATTATGGTATTTAAAATTGGTATTTAAAATTATGTCATTTTTCTATAAACAAAAACTAATTGCCAGTTTACAGAGGTGTGTGTATATGCCTCTTGTTTTTCTAATTGTAATTTAATGATTAATTACAAAAATATGAATTATACATGGGGAATACAATCTAATGATTAATACTTAATATGATGAGAATGGTGATTATTTGAACATTTTCTTTTGAATTTTTTATACGTAAGAATGTACATATTTGTATATTGCTATGTGACAAAAATCTAGAATGAATATATGATTTATATGAGAAGAAAATTGGAAGAAGATGGCAAAGTTTTAACAGTTCTATATAGAGAAATGAAGATAGGACTGCTTCTACTTTCTGCATTTGAAATTTTAAAAAGGTATTTCAAAAATGAACATTTAAACAATACAGGAAATGTTAAAGAGAAGCAATTTGTACCTGTCTTCACCCTTGTCCATCAGCATCATGGGAGTATTGGCCTGTTGTATCCAATATTTTATTCCCAGTGGCCATCGTGTATGGTTTTTGAATTATCTCATGAAGAATATATGATTTATATGCTAGTTCAGCTGAGTCTTGGCAATGAAACAAAGAGTATTGGATTACCCATGGGAAGAAGGCAGAAGATGGAATTGGAGGTAGGTGCGAAATGTGTGTATTTTGGTTGAGAAACAAATGAGTAAAGTGATGATAACTGAAACATTCTATGAAGAAAGTATATTTTTTATAGTTATAATGCCATTTTGTGGATACTGACTAGATCACGATGTTGCAGGAGGTATTTCTTGGGATGAGTTGGAAGTTATCCTTAATTGCATTGGGTATAAATAGAGAATAGATTTGTATCTTCCTTTTACAGTTGTTGAGTCTGTCTGAAGGATTTTAAGTAGGTCTTCAGGGTTTTATAGATCATTCAAAATTAGCATAGAAAAAATTGTAATATTCTCAGTATTTGTCTAAAAGGTATGGCTTAAAATGGTAAGAAAGTGTGAAAAGATTGTTGATTGAACTTATTATAACATTCTCTATTCACTATGCCTGACTAGCTTGAAGTTATATGTTCTGGTGCTTAAGTTGTATACAAATATTGCTGTATTAGAGACTGTTTTTTTCTGCCGATAATGATGAAAGGTATACACACACACATACCCCGCCCCCCCTAAGTACAATGGAAATCATTGGGACCATCCAATTTCCTATGGAGTCCCTTAATTTGTATGTCTTAACTGCTGACCATATGTAAAATGGTTCTGGTGCTGTTTTGGGGTGAGGTTTTGCCTAAACTCAGGAAAATAATACTGGTACAGACATTGTTCTTGGTTACCTTGGAATTAGTGAATGAATTAGTTATTTAAAAAGATATTTTACCGAAGTAAAGATGAAGTATATATGTAGAATGCATGTTATTTTAATTAATTTACTTATTTATGACCAAAAATGTTAGCATAATTAATAAAGAAAATGACCAAGTATATAATTATTAGAAATTATGAAATTGACATGCATATTTTCACAAATACAGTTTTTTTTATATGATGAAGGAGTTTATGGAAACATAGAAGATACGGTTATTGAAAAGTAGGAGTCATTACTGAGGTTGTAGAATTGACTTTGCCGCAGATTTCAAAATGAGGAATTGTTTCAAGGTGTTAACAGAAATTTGAACATTCACTTACTTGCTAACCTTAGATGTTTCATCAAATTGGTGTGTATCTCACCTTATAGTGGTTTTTTTTTTTTTTTTTTTTTTTGCCTTTACACAAGGTGATAGTTCCAAAAAGGGACACCTAAGTCATTTTTTTTTTTTTTTTGAGACAGAGTCTCGCTTTGTTGTCCAGGCTAGAGTGAGTGCCGTGGCGTCAGCCTAGCTCACAGCAACCTCAAACTCCTGGGCTCGAGCTATCCTTCTGCCTCAGCCTCCCAAGTAGCTGGGACTACAGGCATGCGCCACCATGCCCGGCTAATTTTTTTATATATATATATCAGTTGGCCAATTAATTTCTTCTTATTTATAGTAGAGACGGGGTCCCTCTTGCTCAGGCTGGTTTTGAACTCCTGACCTTGAGCAATCCGCCCGCCTCGCCCCCAAGAGCTAGGATTACAGGCGTGAGCACAGCGCCGGGCTATTTTTTTTTTTTTCTTTTTGGAGACAGAGTCTCACTTTGTTGCCCAGGCTTGAGTGAGTGCCATGGCGTCAGCCTGGGTCACAGCAACCTCAATCTCTGGGGCTCAGCGATCCTACTGCCTCAGCCTCCCGAGTAGCTGGGACTACAGGCATGCGCCACTACGCCCGGCTAATTTTTGTTATATTATTTTAGTTGGTCAATTAATTTATTTCTATTTTTGGTAGAGACGAGGTCTCGCTCAGGCTGGTTTCGAACTCCTGACCTTGAGCAATCCGCCCGCCTTGGCCTCCCAAAGTGCTAGGATTACAGGCGTGAGCCACCACGCCCGGCATCATTTTTGTTTTTAATCCCAAGAGGATGGTGCCTGCTATGAGTAAATGATCTGTTGCAATAGTCTCATTCTAGTGTTCTTTATTCCCTCAGCAGTATGATTGTAAGGGCAGTTGAATACACATTTGATGGGGGAGAGGCACTTTGTTTACTTAGGAGTTGATATATCCTGTTTTTCTTAAGGTCGTTGGCTTTTTGGTGGTACTTTGTTTCTCTAAATATAAGACAGGGTCTTATATTTATTTTAACTCAAGAAAAATATATTTTCCTCAAGAAAAATTTATTTTTCCTCAAGAAGACACCGTAGGGCTTATTTTCAGGGGATATGCTATTTTCCCCTCAAAGCCTCAGCTTGCAGCATGCGCAGAATGGCCAGGACCTGACAAGGAGGAGCCGACCTTATTGTTGGGGCTGCCCACACCTTTCCGGTCACCTATGGGATAATAGCTGTCACAATGGGGCAGATGAGAAGGACTGCTCATCTTCTTTACTGCACCATGACGAAATGCATGGGTTGTGCAGATAGGCTGCTTAGCCATGGCCATCACTAGGTCTTATTTTTGGGGTAGGGCTTATATTGTGCAAATGCTTAGAAATCCTGCTAGGGCTTATTTTATGGATAGGTCTTATTTTCAGGGAAACATGGTAGCTAGTTGACAAATTGAGATCTGGTTTGGTTACTATTGCTATGTAACAAATTATCTTGAAACAGTGGTATAAAATAATGACCATTGTGTCATATCCATAGGTTCTGTTGGTCAGAACTTTTGTCAATATCCAGAATAGGTTAGGAGCTGTGTTCTCTCCAGAGTTTCATTGTATCCTCTCCATTTTTAGTATAGTTACTATTTTTTCTCAATAGGTATAGGTTAAGCTTCTTTTGTTATTTTTCATTGGAATGTTTAGGCATTGTTCACATTTCTTGTTCAGAAATGCATATAGACTAAATATAATTCTGTATATGAATGGATAACATGGAGATAATAACTAAACAAAGAAGACAGAAAACATAACATGTGAGGATAATTTGGGAGAGATCAGTGTTAGCAAAGTATACGAAGGAAAGAAGCTAATACCTGGATGCCTTACTGTTAGAAAATTCCAAAAGTAATTTTGATACACATGCTGTTTCTTCATAATAGAATGAATGGTTGTTGTATTTCATTTCACAGATTTTATTAGTCCTTATTGATGATATAAAGTTTACCTCTAATCTTTTCTCATTTTCCCTACTGTGTTCTCTCAGGTGATGACTGAAAAGAAACATATGCCATTATTTCTACTGCTGGCATCACCAAAAGCAAAGTATGGTCTTCATAATGTACACAGACGACTTCCCATTTATGTGTGTTGCAAAGAACACTCCTTTCAGATAAAAAAAAAAAAAATCCTAGATGAGAAACCTCATTTTTGGAAAGTTATCTAAAGAGTATCATGGAAGTGAATTTTAACTAGGCATGATTGTCTTCATCGTTGCTGTTGGACTAAATCTCAGGAGCTGGAATGACTCAGACATTGTACAAAGAAGTTCAGGATGGTGGAATTAAAAGGGCTTCATCTCAGTGCTTTCATAAGTATGAAGTGTATATATTTATAATTTTCACTAATCACAGGGTAAATTTAAAACTGACAAAAAAATCTTCAAGAACACAAAGGACATGGAATATTATAAATTATAGTATATTTACTTAAATGCCTTTTTATTTCTAATTCTATTACTAATCTATTTTTTTATTAAAATGTTGGTACATAAGTAATTTTGGGGGGATAATATATTAACTACAGATTTTCTATGTAGTTAAGATGCTTCTGTAAGTTTGAATTCATCCAACTCCTGTGTTGGTATAATTGTTATAGATTGGAACTGTAGGAGCAAAGTATATACAAAATCTATTAATATATGTTGAGTAAATTTCCCATACTTCCTAAAATTGAACAAGTGTCAGATGTCAATATTTTTAATCATTGATAATGTAATATTATTATACAAAGAAATTGCTTTTTTCATCTACTAATGATAAGCTACATTATCTTAACATAGCCTTATTACTCACTTGTGTTATTTAATTTTCCTCTATTCCTTTTATTTTCACTTCCCCTTGTAATATTAGTCTCTCTGTTACAGATTTCTAAGAGCTCATTTATGATAAGGATGTTAACATTATGTCAAGCATTGCAAATGAAATACCATGTGTTTTCTTTTTTCTTTTATTGTGGTGGTTTATTTTTTTGATTGTACACAAGTTATGTATTGAAATATAATTATGTTCTGTTTTATATCTTTTGAGTTTTGTGTTTTTCTTTCAATACATTTACATTAGTGTCATTAATTCATTTGTATTGTTTTCTGTCTTTCATCTATTATTTTTGTCATTTATTTTTCCATTCTATGGTGTTAATGCATTAAATATTCAAATTACTTTGGCTTGTAAAGGTAACACTTAAGTCATAATCAGAAAGACAATCCCCACATATAATTTATTGTGTTTACCTTGCCTTCTACAGACACTTAACTGATAATTTTTGCTGTCTTATCTATTCCATTGAGTTCTATCTCATTTCTCTTCTTTTTCAGAATATTCCCTGTCTATATTCACATTATTTTCTCTCAATTGATGCTTATAATAATTTTTCAAGGTGGAAAAAAATGCAGTTTTAATTTCATTTGATCCAAATTTAATATATTAGGAGAGATTAAATCTCTGTAAAATTGAGTCCTCCTATCCAACTGCAAGGTATGTCTTTCTATTTTAATCAAATAATTATGTTGGTATAATGCTAGTAAAGTTTAAAAATATTTTTTTCATTTCTAGGCATTTCATAGGAATTTGTTAATTTAGTGATTAGAAACATTCACTCACCTTATTTTCTTATTGATATATGAAAGCCATTTCTGCATACCTTTTCTAGTAGCATTTCATTGAATTTCTAAATTAGGGTTTTCTTTCACAATTTGGGATCATTTTTATTATCTTGAATAAAGTACATTGGTAAGTATTTCTAGAACATATGGATGTATTAATAGTGCCCTTGGCATTTGGACTGTTAATGTGAATCTCTTAGTCTGAGGTTGTGTTCTTATTTATCATTTTAGGAAAATTTTTGTTAAAGATTTTTCACCAGATTTAATGACAGGATTAATAAAATATCTTTTTGTATTGTAGTTTATAATAATTGTCCTTAAATTGTCAAACTATAATTTAACTTTTTTTACATTTGAATATTCTTCTATACCATGAATGAATGAGCTAAGTTTATTTTTAAACATATACCCCTGATTATAGTTGTAATAATTATATTTGTAATTTCTGAAATGATAGTCCTAAACAAACAGCTTTATATTTGTTCTGTTTTCAGGGTTTTGTGTTGTTTTATTGTCTATCTGAAATAATTTTTGAGATTTATGATATAGATAGGAAGCAAGTAATATTGGCATTGTTTCTGAAAAATTTTTACTTTTAAATAATGAGTTATTTACAAAGGTGATGAAACTAAAGTAGTTATTTGTATATTATTCTTCACCTTCCTCTCATATTAACATCTAATTATCGAAAGCAGGAAATTAACATTGATGTACTGGTTTTAACTGAGCCACATACCTCATTCATATTTTTGGTGTTATTGTCATTTTATTGGTTGATAATTTGGATTTTACTTTGCATATATTTGTTATCTGCCTCCTGTTTGGAACATTTTCTTGGTCTTTGATTTTCATGATCTTTAATTTTGAATAGTCTACAGAGTATCTGATTATTAATATTGCTAAGTATGGTTATGTCTGATCTTTGTTCTTTAGGTTTAGCTTACATATTTTTGGCAAGAACACTATAGAAATGGTTTTGTGCTCTTCTCAGTTCATCACCAGGGTGCACATGATGTTAGTAGAGATGTTACTTTTATTACTTAAGTATCTTTTGGAGAAATACTAAAAACAGTGCAAACAATGTTTGTGATCATACCTTTTTTTTTTTTTTTCTTTTAAGAGACAGGGTTTTGCTCTGTCTCCCAGGCTAGAGTACAGTGGTCTAATCATAGCTCACTGCGTCCATAAATTTATGGGGCTCAGGTGATCCTTCTGCCTTCACCTCCCACATGGCTAGGACTGCAAGGGCAAGCACCTGGCTATTTTTTAAAATTTATTCTTCTTCTTTCGTAGAGTTGTCTTGCTATTTTGCCCAGTCTGGTCTTGAACTCCTGGGCTCAAGCAATCCTTCTACTTCAGCTTTCTAAAATGCTGGGATTTCAACCATGAGCCACCATGCTTGGCCTGTCATTATACTTTAGTCTACTCATTTTAGCCTGCATTGATATCTTTGCCTACAATTATAACTACTGTGGTGGTTATCAGATGATTATTTTTTAATTTTGAAGAATTTTATTATGTATGTTTGTATTATATATGTATATTTATGAGACAGAGTCTTGCTCTGTTGCCCTCGGTTGAGTGCAGTGGCATCATCATAATGGTTTTCTGCAATTTTTTAAACTCATGGACTCAGCCTTCCAAGTAGCTGAGACTACAGGCACATGTCACCATGCCCAGCTAAATTCTTTCTTTTTTTTTTTTGAGACAGAGTCTCCCTTTGTTGCCTAGGCTAGAGTGAGTGCCATGGTGTTAGCCTAGCTGGCAGCAACCTCAAACTCCTGGGCTCAAGCAATCCTTCTGCCTCAGCCTCCCGAGTAGCTGCGACTACAGGCATGCGCCACCTTGCCTGGCTAATTTTTTCTATATATATTAGTTGGCCAATTAATTTCTTTCTATTTATAGTAGAGACAGGGTCTCCCTCTTGCTCAGGCTGGTTTGGAACTCCTGACCTTGAGCAATCTGCCCACCTCAGCCTCCCAGAGAGCTAGGATTACAGGCCTGAGCCACTGCACCCAACCTTTTTTTTTTTTTTTTTAAGTAGAGACAGGGGAGGAGAGATCTTGCTCTTGCTCAGGCTGGTCTCAAACTCCCAAGCTCAAGTAATTTTCCCGCCTTGGCATCCCAGAGTGCTAGGATTATAAGCATGAGGTACCTTGCCATGATTTTATTTTATTTTTTCTATTTTCCCAGATTTTAATTATTATTATTTTTTGATTATTATTATTATTTTTTATTTTGGCATATTATGGGGGTACAGATTTTAAGGTTTCAATAAATGCCCTTTCCCCTCCCCCCACAAGTCTGAGTTTCCAGCATGACCATCCCCCAGATGGTGCACATCTCACTCATTATGTATGTATATAGCTGCCCCCCTCCCCCCTGCCTGATTTTATGTTTTATTAATAAGAGTTGGAATTTTGTACTCTAAGGAAGTGTTGTCTCTTATCCCTATATGTTCTGTTATTCATGTAAATGTGGACACATGGGTGTTTGCTTTATTCTAGGCATGAATTCATCAATGTCATTTTTATTTTAATCAGCTTTCTAGGGGTTTCTTAAGTTGGCTCCTTTGTCTTTTCAACGTTACATTACTTTGTAGCCCGACAACAGTGTCCGTTTTTAGTTTTGTATTACCCTGCTCCAATTGTGAAACCAGCAATTTCTCCTTGGATACCTACTTAATTATGGAGAATTGGTATTTAGAAAGAAAGGGATGATTGCTAGGAATCTTAATTTCTTTTAAATTATCACTGTTTATAAGCCCTCACAGAAAGTAGATGTATGTGTACTGGCATTTTCTCATTTTTTATTTGTGGTTTAATACACATAAGAAATATAACATTTATGATCTTGACTATTTTTACATATACAGGTCAATGATATTACATACATTCATGTTGTTGTCTAGTTATCACTACCATCTTTCTCCAGAACTCTTTCAGTCTTAAAAATCTGAATCTCTATACCTGTTAAAAAATAACTTCCCGGCCGGGTGCGGTGGCTCACGCCTGTAATCCTAGCACTTTGGGAGGCCGAGGCGGGCGGATTGCTCGAGGTCAGGAGTTCGAAACCAGCCTGAGCGAGACCCTGTCTCTACCAAAAATAGAAATAAATTAATTGACCAACTAAAAGATATATACAAAAAATTAGCCGGGCATGGTGGCGCATGCCTGTAGTCCCAGCTACTCGGGAGGCTGAGGCAGTAGGATCGCTGAGCCCCGGAGATTGAGGTTGCTGTGAGCCAGGCTGACGCCACGGCACTCACTCTAGCCTGGGCAATAAAGTGAGACTCTGTCTCAAAAAAAAAAAAAAAAAAAAAAAACAAAACTTCCCATGCTCTCTTTCTCCAGACCCTGGTAACCATAATTCTAATTTCTGTCTCTAATTTTGACTACTATAGGTATCTAAGTGGAAACATTATATTTCTCTTTTATTTTTTCTCACTTTAAATTAAAAGCTATATATTTCTCTTTTTGTGACTTCCTTATTTTATTTAGCATAATATGTTGAAGGTTTTTCCACATTGTAGCATTTGTCAGAATTACCTTTTCTCAGGTAGAATAATATTGCATTATATGTATATACCACATTTTGCTTATCCATTCATTCATTGATGGGTACTTGTTGTTTCCTTTTTTTAGCTATTGGTATTAATGCTGCTGTGTACATGGGTGTACAGATTTATTTTTGAGTCTTTGCTCTTAAGTTATCTGGAGTGGAATTGATGGATCATACGGTAATTTTATTGATTTTGTTAAGGAAAAATTATGCTGTTATATTGTTTTTTTCACAGTAGCTGTATCATTATACATTCCCACTTAACACTACAAGGGTTCCCATTGTTCCATATCCATAACATTTTTTAATTTTTTGTTTTCTTGGAAGTAGCTATCCATATAGCTCTGAGGTGTAATCTTACTGTAGTTTTTACTTGAATTTCCCCAGTGAGTAAGTGATTTTGAGCATATTTTCATATATTACTAGAAATCTGTACACATTTTTACCCATTTTTTGTTTTATATTGAGAGAGGGTCTCAAACAATTCTTTTGCCTCAGCCTCCTGAGTAGCTGGGGGTGTAGGTGTGCACCACTGTGCCTGGCTAGTTTATTTAAAACCTATCTAATTTTTTATTTGTTTTTTTTTAATGTTTATGACATCCAGTTTGTCTACTTTTTCTATCATTGCTTGCATATTTTATGCGCTACTTAAGAAATCATTGCCAAATAAAAAATGTCATGAAGCTTTTTGCCCTACATTTTCTTAGTGTCATAGTTCAAAGTATTACAAGGTCATAGATACACATTGAGTTAATTTTTGTGTATGATGTAAGGTAAGGGTCTAACCTCATTCTTCTGTATGTAGATATCCACTCATTGCTTCACCATTTGTGGAAAACTTTGTCTTTTCCCCTTTGAATGGTCTTGTAAAGTTGTTGAAAATAAATTGATCATTTATGTAAAGGTGTATTACTGAACCCCTTTGTTCTATTTCCTTATACTGTATGTTTGCATTTATGCCAGTACCACAGTATTTTGGTTACTGTAGCTTTGTAGTGAACATTTTGAAATTCGGGAGTGCTACTCCTCCAGTTTTGTTCTTTTTCAGGATTGTTTTGGTTGTTCCAGTCCTTTCATACACCAGACGAATTTTAAGATTTTTTTCTTTCTATTTCTCTCAGAAATATCATGAGAAATTTAGTAGGGTTTAAATCTGTATATTGCTATCAGCAGTATTGACATGCTAATAATATTGTCTTCCAATCTATAAACATAGGATATCTTTTTGTCTTTGATTTCTTGTAGCAATGTACATTTATTTATTTGTTTATTTGTTTGTTTGTTTATTTATTTATTTATATAGACAGACAG